CTCTCTCTCTCTCTCTCTCTCTCTCTCTCTCTCTCTCTCTCTCTCTCTCTCTCTCTCTCTCTCTCTCTCTCTCTCTCTCTCTCTCTCTTGGCTGTTTACTGTATAGCACGTTCGGTGTCCAAGTGCATCATTATGGTGGGTGATGAAAATCGACATGGGGGCTGTTTAGCCTCCATACGAGCACATTAGTGATTTCTCACCGTATAGTGCATTTGGTGTCCAAGAGCATTACATAGTGGCAAAGAGGACATACAATGAGGGGGGTGATGAGTAGGGTCGAAAGCAGGAAAGTGGTTGATCAATCAGATGAGGAACAGGAAATTGTGATGGGAGGGGAGGTGGTGGTGGTGATGGGACGTGAAGGGGAAATGGTGCTCTGCTGAAATCAGGAGTGCGTCTGAACCTCATGTGCTGAACTTGCTCACGAAAGCAGCCCAAACCCAAAGTAGGTTCTGAGGTTGAAACCGGTGGTGGTCACATGGTTTCCCATACCTGGTTTTCCAGGTATATTTCAGGTTTTCACAGAAACAATCCTTGATTAGCCCTACTGCTCTCCCCTGTCCTTTCTTTTCTCAGCCATACTCCTCTTTCCCCTTTCTTTTGTCTCTTGTTTTTGTTATCTTTTCAAGGCATTGCATGGATTCTAATCATTCTTGGCATTTTTTTCGTGTGATGATCATCACATTTCCTTTGCCGCACTTGTCAGTCTAATGTGTTGTTCGTTCGTGGTTTCTTTGTCCATGCAGACCGCCGATCGACAACAACGTGCTGAAATGTGAGCACGGCAAGGTGCCGCCTTCCAAGGTTACAAGCATGAAGCGTATTTCAGAGAAAGCCTGGACGAAGCTCTGCGGGCTGGTATGCCACTTTCTTCTGCCACCGTTTTCCCTTTCTGTCTGCTGATCTGCCTAAAGTCGTTCGTTGGCAATGTCCGTACCCCAGAGAGTTAGCAGATGTTATTATACCCAAGTGTTATATAGTGGCATGGAAAAATGCTGAAATGATGCCCATGGTTCGCAGTGCTCAAGCCCTCTGTCAAGTCGGGGGGTCTCAGACGCTTTGCACAGCTGTGTTGGTAGGAGGTCTGTCACAGGGGCACAGGTTTTGGGGTACAGGGGTCATTAAGACCTTGAGAGGCCGAAAAGCTTTGAAAGAACGATTGTTAACATTAGCATTTTATTTGATTGGCCGAGATTGAGTGCCGTGATGCGGAAAAGGAGGATCCTTTCAACCGTTATGGCTGTTGTCTTTCTGTAAATTCTTGCTTCAGAAGTGTGGCCTGTTTCTGCATCAGAATAATGAATGCAACAGATGCTCCAAGAGAACCACGATTGTAACAGATCAACAACTTTATTTCTTTGGTTTTGATGCGCGTTGCAGTATGGAGGAGGACCAGTGTTAACAGGGGATGATTGCTGCGAGGCCTGCATTTTTGAAGAAGCAAAAGCCGCAATCTCTGCTGACTCTTTTCGGGACGAGCGAGCCGCTGTTCGCGAGATGGTGGAGAGCATGATGAACAATCCGGAGACCTGGCGAGGACCATGCTTTTATGTATCCAAACAATGGTGAGGTGATGCTCTGGTGATTTTGTGCAAAATTGAGAATAATTCCGAGTATCTAGGGCATCAGGAGGCCTGGCGTGGCCTCAGGTCTGCCGATGAACAAATACGACCATGTAGAGTGCAGAATGGAAAATCCAGCGAAATCTAGAGCTGATGGGTTCTCAAATCCTCATATATGTCCTTGTAACTCAAGTCCTGTTGGGATGTCATCGCGGTGTAATAAGTCATCCGTAGCTTACTTTTGTTGGTTAGTCACGCAAGTGGTATTCAGGAAGTTGTGGGTTCGATCCCCACTAGCCGCCTGGGGCACACTTTATGCCTACTGGCAAAGGCATCACGGTGTAATCAGATGTCAGCGGCTTAGTTTCATTGGTTAGTCCTGCAAGCGGTACTCAGGAGGTTGTGGGTTTGGTTCCCACTGACCTCGCAGGGCGCACTTGGTACCTGCCAATGAAAGCTTGCTGGCTTCCCCGGTTTGGCACCAGCAAGGTCTTTGCTGTTCAAATCCACCAGTCCGTCCAGGCCTCTTCTTTCTCTTCCGGGTCTCTTCTGTGTCCCCTTGAGTGACCCAGCACAGATGCAAAATTGCATCTTTCTGCATGGTGTCGCGACCTTTTTCCATCTGGAAGGCCCGATCTGTGTTTAATGGTGGGTTACCCGCGGTGTCAGAACAAACTGGTTGCTCTGGGTTGGCACTAGTCGGGTCTCAACCCAACGCTGCTGGTCTAAACCACCAGTCCGTCCAAGCCTCTTCTTTATGTTCCTGGCCTCTGCTGTGCGCCCTGAATAATGAAGCGGCACAGGTGCAAAATTGCAATTTTGCTGTGGGTTAACCGCCGTGTTGGATGAAAATAGCTGGGAAGCAAACTGGTGGGTTAAGACATTTCTGATATCGGATGGAGGGTGGAAAGAGGGTAGGCATATTGACTGGCATCGGCAGGCTCCCGCCGGTGTTGCCCATCTTCAGCCCCACAGATCCTGTGGGTTGGGGGCACCATGATTCCCTTGATATGCAGGATATAGCCGGGAGAAGTGGTATGGCTGCTGGATTCCTTGTTATGAGTTCTTACTGTGCATTAAGCCCGAGTGTACGCTTATCTGAAGGTGGGGGAAAAGAGGAGAGGTGCAGAAACTGCCCAAATAGGTGTGGTACTAGTGCTATTGGCTGGTCTCCACCAGTGTCACCCACCCTGCTCCCTACAGACCCTGTGGGGAGGGGGCAGCTTGACTCTGTGAACATGTAGGATATAGGTGTGAGAGGGAATAGAGCTCTGCTGAAGTCTGCTGTAATGAATTGCGACCGGCAGCTAGGCTTGACTCTGTGAACATGTAGGATATAGGTGTGAGAGGGAATAGAGCTCTGCTGGGGTCTGCTGTAATAAATTGCGACCGGCAGCTAGGCCCAGGAGTACACTGAACGAAAGCTGGGTAGAAAGTCCTTGTAAAACAAATAAACGAGAAAGAAAAGGAAAAAATGATTGTTCAGTCGAGTCAGAGATGCAATCACATACTGTTCTGGTGACCAGCATGATTCTTTGTCTTGCGTATTCCCCCCCCCCCCCCCCCCCCTTTTCCCTTCTCTCTCAGGATGTTTAATCACGGGGCCCTAGGCTGATATGGACTTTTGCAGGTGGAAGGGAAAACAGCTTTAGAAGGTGAGGCTGGAAGGTACAGAAGGGCTGAAGTTGCTTACCCGTGTCTTGTATGGTCGTGCCGCTTGTTTTGTTAGAACCGACCTTAACAATTGCTGCTATTCAATTGTTGCAAGAGCCAATCCTCAGCTCACAGGCCAGTAAAAAGGATGAAGAATTCAGTGCTACTTATCACCATAATGACCATGATGACCATGGTAGGGTCAAAAAGAGAGATTTTCCCACAGTGAAAATATGGGAAAGGAGCTCTGTAAGTGAGTTGCTGGTTTCATGTTCAGCAAATGGAGTTCTGGCCATCTGCACGGCTGACATTCTGATGCAACTAGTGGCCTCGTTATCACACTGGTGTATGTACAGGCTGAACCATTGGCTGCGAAGAAAACAAGTAGATGTCCCAAGCGACGCTGATTCACAGCCTCTTAAGAATCTGGTCTGTCCTCATGACGGCCTGTATCCAGAGCAGGCACCTTATGCGAAGCGGCAGCTGGTTCCACAAGCTGTGTGGGAGTACTTTGCAAGGGTGGCAGCTCAAGTTGAGGGTGTTGATGTGGATAGTTATAGAAGCTTCTCAGAGCACACAGAAGACTGTTCCATTTGTGAGGTTGATATGTCTAAAGAGGCATTGAAGCAAGAGGATTTGAGGTTGGTGAGCCTTTGTGTTGAACTGTTTCCCTGAGACAGACAGGCAAAAGTAAGAGTGTGTGTGTGTGTGTGTGTGTGTGTGTGTGTGTGTGTGTGTGTGTGCGCGCGCGCACACCACACACACACACACCCTTGTGTTGAGCTCCTGTGTGCTTGTGTTTGCATGTTTGTTGCATGCTTTCTTTTGTCTGTGTGTGTATGTGAGAGAGAGAGAGAGAGAGAGAGAGAGAGAGAGAGAGAGAGAGAGAGAGAGAGAGAGAGAGAGAGTGCAGGGCCGCTTTTCAGGGATGTAGAGCGAACCCAGTATGTTAGCATCAAAAGATCCATTGATACCCGAGGATCATTACCATGTCCTTCTGAATATATTGACTCGTTCATCACTGCCTATTTGCTGTTTATGTTTCCAATTTCCAAAGGCAATCTGAGGGCCATGAAACATCATTTTCTATTCTCATCCGAGGCATTGCAAAGTCATCTATGGTCTAAAAAGTCATGCAACACAGACTTCAACTGTTTGGCAGTCACATTAAGAATTCATTCAATAATGATGAGATCTCTTCCTCTTTACTGTACAAACTCCCTTTTTCTCCATTTCAACTTATGCCAGGTAGCTCTCACTACGTCCTCTTGAACTGTTTTGCTTCCCGTGTTTCGCCTATTCCCCCCTCCCCCCCCCCCCCCCTTCGCTTCTCTCTCTGTGCTTTTCTGTTCCGGTATTCACACGCATATGTCAAGTTTCAACTTCCTGACCTACCGATTGCAGTTCCAATGACACCCCTTCTTAATGGGTGGAGAACCACACTGGCACCAAATAGAACAAAAAGGAAATGCAGCTTCTCATTTCCATTTGCTCTAAGTGCCTCAGCACCAAAACGAATAGCAATCACAAACCTGGTGAGCACTCAGGTTTCCGCATAGCATACGCTGCGTTTCTTTGTACTCTTTCATGTCATCTTTTTCTTTTTCCATGTTCTACAGACCCTTCTTTTTTGTGTTTCATTGTGCAAGAAACATGAGTATGGACGAAGCACAGAAATCCAGAATGCAAAATCACACTGAAGTCCAAGTAGTCAAAGCCAAAGCAGATAGCACATGGAATCGAGTAACCATCCAATTGAGAATGATACAAAAGAATCGTGAGTCAATGTCCATGCCCACCAGGGCAACACCAACAGCATAACCCAAATGTAGCTCTCTCTTGTGAATGGCGCCAGGCGCCCTATCTACTCTACAGCTATCCTACAACTACAGCAATGAAAAGCAACCAGACAACTTGACTACCAACGAGTGATGATGTCAACACCAATGCCGATCTCCACCRTCACCAGGTAYGTGTCCTCTTCCCCACACTCTCCCTTGTTACCCACACTGCGCCCTTCACCTCCGAAGTACCACCTTCGCCCTCACCTCCCCTGCACCCTCATGCMGCCCGGCTATGGCCGCCAGTRCTCTGCAAGCAGGCAGCGCCCTACSGCCTAGYGCTGCCCTGCTTCTTCTTAGCGCAGCGSTGCTCTGCATTAGCGCAGCACACTTGCATCTGCGCAGCGTGCCCGCATATGCCAGCATTGGCCAAGMTCCCYSCTGCCTCGCCCTGCTTGYCTATATGCCAGTGCAGYRTGTGGGCGSCCTCCCTTCAGCCTGTRACCGGGGCCCAGAGGCTGAAGCCAACTCGATACAGTTGGGCCCCGGGGTAAGGCAGTTGCGCCTCCTTCATCAAGGCCTGCGGCCAGATTCAGACAGTGGGCCGATTTCCCTTTGGCATTTTCGGCCTCTCTTCCCAGCATGCATTGTCGGCCTCACGTTCAGATGCCCAGGGCCTAACCAACTCAGAGGCCCTGGGCTTTCAGCATTTGCTGAAATCCGAGACTCGGTGCACTCCAACCAACTGGCGTGCTACAACTGTATGGACCCCACTTCGTGAAATGTTGCACAGAGGGCTCTTGTCGATTTGCTGGCCCGCCTTCACTTAGGGCGGGCACTAGGCTTGCTGGGGCCTTAGCCCAGAACATGTACATCATGGCAAGGGCCCTAGATGAGGGCTCAATCCTCACAATTGCTTATTCGCCCGCTGCTGTAACGTCCTCTCAGTAATTGCTCCCAATGATTTGATCATCAGCAATCCTCCTTTTCTCACACGGGTGGAGTTGTGCTGGGTCTTGTTGTCCATGTCCACACTTGAACACAAAGCTGTGAGAACAAATGGTAACACGTATGGGAGGCGGTAAAGAAGGGACAATGCAAAGTGAGGAGCATAGGTACAGAAATGCAACAGCAGGCAGTCACTGCAGGGAGCTTTTCTTTTTCTCTTCAGTGTATTCGAGATGGACCCAAAGGTATTGGGCATCTGGGGCGTGTGCAGCCTGTGCCGAGCATTTGATGGCTTTAAGATATCTGGAAGCCAGATTTTCTGGATGTCCAAAAACCTGGATGGCCTGGACCTCGGATGCCCGGTCGGATGTACGGTCGGGTGTGCGGCCGGATGTCTCCGGTTGAGTGGCCTGTAGGCCCAGATCAATTTTGTCGAGAGTCTCTTTGTTGCCCGGACCCTGTGGAAGTAAGGGCGTGGCTGCAAACTAGACCCATTATGACCACAGTCTGGACAGCCCATATCGCCATATCAGCAGCAGCTGTTTTGTTTTTCCCCAACCACCCCGTGCCATGACTGGGTGATACCAAAGTGCCCTGTGGACCGCTTGAACATGAGCACTGACAATTGGAGCGTGTGGAGGAAGTGGTGGTTGAAGTGAGCATGACACGTTTGAGCGCTGTGTCATGTCCCTTCAAGTACCGCTGCTTCCGACATCAACCAAGGCCTTCTGTGCTGTGGTGTACCTCCACCACTGCTACCAACATCAGCCAAGGCCTTCGGTGCTGTGGTGAGGGGTCGGACTACCAGCCACAGAGGGGGATGGCACAAGTTTCTGGGTGTGATGAGTTGTTGGTTTGCATGCTCATAATTTTCTGCAGAAAACTCTGAAACAAATGAGGGATGCAGATGAAGTGCCCGCCTGTTGGAGAACAATATTGGAAAAAATCGAAAGGATATTAGAGCAGTGTGATGGTAAAACATATCATGGGGGGAAAGTAGGAATGTTTCTGCCCGCTGCCGCTCCAGAGTCGGGAAATAGGTTCAGGAGCAGTAGTGGTTCAATCAAGAGAGTTCCGGGAAGGATGGCCGCTGTCCCTCTGCCAAATATTGGCACTCAGCAGTTGGGAGTTTTCCATCTTCTACAGTCTTGGTTTAGGGTTTCCCTTGGTGGATTTCTGGTTGTTTTCAGGGAAGAAAATAGTCGGCATGGGTTGCAATTGTTGTTTGTCAGTTTAAATCTTTACATCTCCATGGGTTTGATTTTCTGCATGGCTCCTTGGTACTCACCGAATGGGAGGTTTTCCATTTGTTACAGTTTTGTATGGTTTCCGTTGGTGGGCTTTCTTGTTGTTTGCAGGGCAGAAAATAGTCGGCATGGGATATACAGCTTGCTATTGTTTGTCAGTTAAAAATGTTCACATCTCCATGGGTTTGATTTTCTGCTTGGCTCCGTCTTGGTGGGATGTTGGGCATGTTCCAGGGCAAGTAAGCTGGAGGAAAGACAGGTATTGGAGGCAGTGTACAGTGGGCGGCCAGTGCCCATTCATTCCGACGGAGTCTATTACCTTGTGCCGACTGACTGGCTTCAACGTTGGCGAGCATTTGTGTCAGCAAGTGGGAAGAATGTGATGACAGTGGAAGGACCTGATGGTCTTGAGGCTGGTCTCTCCTCTCTCATATGTGAGAAGGTTTGCTGAATGTTTGTGGCAACTTCCCTACCACCTGAAACACCCTTGTTTTCACCGACTTTTTTGTTTCTTTGTCATCATCTAACGAGTCTTTTCCTGGGCATACAAGAGAAATCGTGCAGAGAAGATGAGACATGCAGACTCCGATCTGTAGGCAGTGGAATATGGCTGATGTGATGCACAGAAGAATCAAGTCATGTGAGAAATATTGGACCATTCAGGCATCCCGGCCTCTTTACAACAACAGGAGTCTGCTGAGAACCTTTAAATAATCTGCTTGCTAAACCACCAGTACATCCGAGCCTCTTTTTGCTGTGGCGTATTCGGACTGTGTACGGCAAGCTTTGCCGAACGGCCAGCAGCGTGGTGTTTTTTTCCTTTTGGCTGGCATTGTGGTTCGGCAGCCCGGAGCCCTCGAAATTTTGGGATTTGCTCGATTTCGATTTTCAAGTTTGCCTGGGCAATGTACTGGCACGGGTCAACGTTAGTGGCGATTCAATCTCAAACTAAGACTATGATTCAGACATTTGCTGGTGCATTGTGCCTTTTCTTTGATATAGGAACAGTGAAAAAAAAAAAAAAAAGGAATGGCGAATAGTTCGTGGTGTAACTTGGAAGTTGGTACTTTGCAGTTGCTTGACTATGATGTTTGAAAATGCCGTGATACATTAAATTGAGTAAATACTAAATGTTAAATAATAATAAATTGTGCCTCTCGCAATATGTTACTGCGGACTCGGGCGAACATGACCGGGAAGTTTTGTTGCACACTGTCCACCAATGCACCCACTTGTGTGCCAATCTTGGTGCAGTCAAGAGGACCCCCTGGTGGCTCGAGAATGAACTGAAATCTACCGGCCTACTACTTGGCCGGCCCCTCCTCTATACTACAGCGCTGGCCACTCTCCAACTCAGCCTCCCTCCTATCTGAGCCATTCGATTGGCCAAGCATCCGGCAGTCCAGCTGAGAGACCGTGTGACCTGGAAGGAAAAACAGGCCTGGCATAAAAGGCGGACAGTGGCCCAGCCGAGAGATGGGTGTCCCAGTTAACCATTAGTGCACACAAACAGACGATCTGGACCAAAATCTGAAATGGTGTTTACCGAGTTCCGAAAAGGACAAACCTGTGCATGTTCGGATAAAGTCCTGAGAAGTGGAGTCTAGACCAGTAAAAAATGAGCTGGTACAAAAGAAAACCGTATTGACAATTTGACACTAAATAATATGCGGAAATCGAATGCAAAAAAGCAAAATACACACGCATCTGTCTGGGAACTCACTCTCAAAGGCCCTTTAGGTCACTGAAAAGGCATCTGAGAAGCCTAGGCAGTCAAGCGCCTGCTCAACAATAAGTCTGGGCCCCCAGGGCCGTTGTGGGAGGCCCTGGCATGCCACACACGACGTGCCAGGTTAAAAAGGCTGGCAGTGCTGACCGCTCCAACGCTTGTGCCATTGCACAGCCGATGGATTGTAGTCCAGATCCTCAACAGTGTGCTCTACAAAATACTCCAATTTCTCGTAGGAGTGGAAAGGCACGTCATATACTCAGGGTGGCGAGACAACTCATCAATTTAGGTAGAAATCATACATATCAATCTCATGCAACCAGCAAGACAGTGTTGTGGACAAGTTATGCACAACTTTTTATTTCCCCTTCCCCCTCCCCCCCCCCTTCTCTCCAATCTAAGCAGGACCGTATGGGGAGCATCAGTCCGGTTCCTTTTCCTTTTTCGTTACCCTACTTGAAGTTTTCCTTCTTGTCCAGCGCCTTGCGTGTGCTTCAACCGACTTGTGTGTGCATCTGGCCACCTTAGTAGGTACAGCCCAGGTCTGCCTGGCCAATTGCCTACACATTCCCACTGTTCTCATGAAACTGTTCCATGGGCATGTTTGTCTGTTTGTTGGTTCTTTTAATTCAGCATTGGAGATTGCTTCATCCGCCACCTGAGCTGACAATTCGGAAGGACGAGGCCGTCCAGCGGTCTATGAATGTGAGTCTACAGCCCAGACACATTAATGCATGTTCTTGAAGTACTCTCTCTTTCTCTTTTTTTAGTGGCTTATTCAGGTGATCCATTTCTCTTCACGAAGTCGTGAATCTGATATTAATTTCAATTGAACCGGTACAAGTGTGCAACTGAGCTGCGAAATGCAAAGACATCAGTTGTCAGCAGTTGGTGTTGGGGTTGCTTTAGCACGAAGACCCAATTCCGATCCTGGAAGGCTGATCACGGCAAGTGACAATGCATCTGATCGTTCTGCATGATAATTTGTTAAGAGAACGAAGCATGGTGACGTGAAAGCAGGTGTAGCACATCCAGGCCGGTCCAGGTGTCCAAATGGGGGGGGGGGAACCGGAAGGTCTGGAGGGGCAGTTGCAAAAAGTCTGGCAGCTGACCATTTTTGTCCTGATAAAACTTTGGGATCGGATGGTTCCCTTTCATTGCTCGCCCCATGAAACCCAGGGGTGCACGGTTGAGCTGGCCTCAACCTTTTGTATTCTGATGCGGCTGGTATGTTGCTGAAACGAAGCTTCAGACTAGGAGGCACCTGTTACTTGCATTTGGCTACTGGGTTTTGAGCCAGCAGTGTATTCCAATTTGTTACAAGTGATCAGTGTGTCTAATTCACTCAACGGATTCACACGCTGCACCACAGATGTTCGGTCTGTTGTTGCGCGGATGTGACAAACATGGATGTGTGGATGTAACGGAAATGGGTGTCATGAATGGGTTGCCGATGCTATGGGAAGAGAGAAACAAACACAGGAAGTTGTGTGTGTGTGTGGAGAGAGAGAGAGAAAGAGAGAGAGAGAGAGAGAGAGAGAGAGAGAGAGAGAGAGAGAGAGAGAGAGAGAGAGAGAGAGAGAGAGAGAAACTGCTCGAGTGCTACATACGTTGGGGACACATCTATCCTCCCACCTCCTTTGTCCGTAGGCATCACCACAGCAGGCTACCTCTTGTTCTTATAAATGTCAGAAATACCATCACAGGTTGATAAATCAGGAACTAGATGCCCTTTTGCTATTCTATGCACTTGGAGGGAGATAGACGGAATCCTCTCTTATGGAACTTTGAGGGAGGCCGGGCTCGGGCTTTCTGAAAAGCCTTCGCATCATTAACTACTTATTTCCATTCTTGCCCATAGGCAACGATCTTCCCCTCTTCTTTCCCCTTGAGTATGTTTAACACAGGCACTTACCCATGAATGAAATGCTGGTCAAGAGCAACACATCATCTCTGTATCTGTGTGTCTATGTCTGTGCTCTCTTGACAAGAACATGATGTCTCACTTGTATAGTTGTGCTCGAAATTATCTCGTTTTCACTCTGTTTCTCCCTTGCGCGGGTGAGAAAGATATGGACTTCTCTCCAACTGAAGGTCAAGAGCAACACATCATCTCTGTATCTGTGTGTCTCTGTCTATCCTCTCTTGACAAGAACATGATGTCTCACTTGTATAGTTGTGGTTGAACTTATCTCGCTTTCTCCCTTGCACGTGTGCGAAAGATACGGACTTCTCTCCAACTGAGGAAAGCAGTCCATTGTGTCTTGGTGACCTTGCTTCTTCTTCTCAATGTCTGATCATCTGAAGTCTTATGTTTCATCTGCTAAGCCTATCATGTTCTCTTCACTGTGATCCTGGTGTTTTCTGTGTGTCGTTGTGTGTTGAGGTAGTTTTTCTGTACTCTTGCTTCCGTATCCCCTGCATTGCTGGTTTCCTAATCTGTTTTCGCTTTGAGAGGCATTCCCAGTGCCTAGCCAGATGAAGGTTTTTGCTTTCATATCCTCTGCATTGCTGGTATCCTCTGCATCGCTGGTCGTATCCTCCGATGGCAGATTTGGCCGGCTCTTTTTCAGATTTGCTGAGCTGCTGTGCGAGTATCAGGCATCTTTCCTCTTTTGCATTATGTGTCTGTGACTCTGTGGCAGGAAAGTACAATCATGCTATCCTGCTTGAAACAATTGATAGTGTTTGCTGGACCTGTGTTTTGAAGGTGCAATGTCTGTAAAGCATGATTTGAATTGCAGTCTTCTCAATCTTTTGGCTGGAGAAAAGTGGGGACTTGATGAATAGGGGATACTCTTGCCACTGATGGATGGCAGAGGCTAGCAGTTGATGTGCTGCTTGAGACAGTAATGTTCCAGGCTAGTCCTTTTACTGCGAGAAAAGAGAAGGAATAGGGGGTCTGGTTCTGGGAAAGCAATGGAGAAGTGTTTGTCGCTTCTAGGGCGTACTCTCACATTGAGTTGCGGTTAAAAATATTCACAGTCGTCCCCTAGTGTGACTATGCCCCATACTTGCAGCACATCGAGTGCGCACCGCTCGCGCACACGTGGCGCACTGCACTCACTGCACCGTGCGCGCACACCGGATGCGGCACATCGCGGAAATAGGTGTTCTATGTCCCCAATGATTTTTTTTCCCTGTTCTTTCGTTTTGTTTGTCATTGCTGATGCCGCTGAGGTCACAGTCTAGCACTGTAAGAGATGTTGGGTTGCACTGTATTTGAGGCCTGCTTTGTCTGTGAGCATAATAAATCTTGGAAAAGAGAGCACACCCGTGCTTCTTGTCAAGTATTTGGTGTTCTGGAATGCTGTCTTCTCAGTACAGTACTCCTGTTTCTTATTCTTGTGTCTTTTGCCTATTCTTTCGGGTTATTCGTGGCCTGTTTGTCTGGTTTTCTTGGTGTGATACCTTGGAGAGTTGCTGGGAATCAAGGATGTTGGGATGGTGGGTGACAAGGAGCTGTTTTGATGGGAGGTTGTGGGGGAGTTTCTTCCTTGCAGGAGGAGGCGTTCACAGTTGTGTCGGAACGTGATTGGTTTCTGTTGCGAGATAGGTGGGCCAAGCATCAAGATGGTGGCCTTCTGGAGATCCAGGCCAGAGTGCAATGGGTTCAAGTCGAGGAATGTGATGTCAGTCAGGGGGGAAGTTGGAATGCGAAGGCGAGCACGGCCTTTCCAAAAAGAGGGAGGCAACGGAAAAATCGTGTCGAGGAAGAAAAAGAAAAGGAGAGAAAGGACAAGGACAGGGATGAGCAACAGAAGGAAGAGGAGAAAGAGGACAAGGAAATGGAGAATGGGAAATCGGGAAATGCTGACGCAGAGGAGCCTAGGATCGTCACCTCAAAAGTGATGTGGCCGCAGCTAATTACAGAACCACCGGTAAGGGCACAGCCCCAGGGTACCATGATTGTGCTAGCCTGGCAAGTTCAGTCTATCGTTTGGTAGAAGCTAATATTAGTCCAACCGTTGCATTCAAGCCGAACTCATGACCAATCCAGTTAGCCTCCGTTGTGATGCTTGGCTTCCGAACAATATGTGAGACTTTCGCCTGATATCAGTGATATGGCTCTTCTCAGAATCTATATTGATATTTGGTATTATTTGCTCTTTCTTATGGTATGGATTTAATCCAAATGTTTCTGTAACCTAAGACTCCAGTAAATTAGGTCACCATCCAGTGGACTCTTGTTGGAACGGACCACTTCGTGTTTGCAACCCTTGCTGTCTGTAGAGATGTCATGCAGATGTATAGGCTGGCAAGTCCGGTCAATCTTTTGGCAGATGCTAATATTTTAGACCAACTGTTGCATGCAAGTCGAACTCGGCACCAATCCAGTCAGCGCCACCCCCCCCGCCCCTCCCCCTGTGATGAACTCTCGCTTTCCGCAGAGATGTCATGCAGATGCTTGGGCATTATGGTGGATTGCACAACATCTATAAGGGAGATGGCATGGCCTGTAGCAGAGTGGAATTGAATTCTGGCAACCCTTCTCCTCCACTCTAGCATGTTTCACCGACATATTATTTTACTTCTACTCCTGTGTAAAAAAACCAGCGGTAGTTCGTGTGGTGTGGATGCTAATTTTTTTTTATGTTTATTTTAAATGGATGCTGAATTTGTTTCGGCCAGAGGGTGTTGTAAAATAGTTGGGAAAAAAGAAAACTTTTGACGCTATGGTACGGCATCTGTTGTGTGCTTCTCAGGACTACTGGTTTTTCTCCCTTTGGATGAGCAAAAGGCAAAGGATCAGTTTTTGCAAAGGAACGAAGGGGGGGAACAAAGGCGTTTATGGAAAGGTTATGTATGAGAGGAGGGCACCAGCACCACACAATTTGCTGTGTCGTGGGAAAGAAAAGGGGGTCTGCAAGGACACTATAGTAGTCTGTATGCACAGTTTGGCATGAGGCTATATTGGATCACCAAAATTGATTACACAAAGAGGAGAGGAGTGAGGATACAAGGAGAGAAAGAAAAGGAAGAACAGGAGGAGGAGAAGTAAATATGCAAACAGTGATCGTGCGGCATGAGGCTATATTGGGTCACCA